CCCATGGAGAGCCCCAGGCTCAGTGGGGCTGTGGAACCCGTGGAGAGCCCCAAGCTCAGTGGGGCTGCACAACCCATCCCATAGAGAGCACACAGCCTTGGCTCAGGCCTGCAGCAATCCTGAATCCCCCCCGAGGCCCTGCTGTTGCTGTGCCTGCCAGCCTGTGCGTGGGGACTGGAGTAAGGTCTTTTTTTATCTGAAACACGACTCCAGGCAGAAGCAGAGGAATCCAGGCCGGGCCCTGGCCTCCCTCGGCCGAGCAGAGCAGCACTCACTCGCTCCCTGTCACTGGTTTGTTGTTGACTGTTTGCCACTGCTCTGTGCCCGTCTCCCGGCAGTAGATGTAATACCCAAGGGGCTCTGGGCCATCCTTGGGCTTGTCCCACTGCACAACAACAGATGTCCTGGTGTCTCTGAAGGCCAGAACCTGAGACGGTGGAGATGGAGGAGCTAAAAAAGGAAAGAAACAAAAAACACAGACAAAAGTAGTCAGGGTTAAAATCTGTAATTTTAAAAAAGCCCAAACTATTATAAATAAGTTAACCTGTTTGATTTAATCACCTTTTCCACAGTACCATTTTCAAATTGTTGCCCAGGGAAGCTGTGGCTGCCCCATCCCTGGAAGTGCCCAAGGCCAGGTTGGGTGGGGATGGAGGAAGGTCCCTGCCTATGGATGAGCTTTGGGGTCCCTTCCAACCCAAACCATTCTGGGTTCAGTGGAATTAGAGCAAAATGCCATGGACAGGGGTCTGCTCTACAGGATCTGTGCTTGGGTTTGCGAGATGACTTCTTCCTCTCCCACTGATTTCTGCAGCTGCCCCACACAAACTCATCTGAAGCAGAGGAAAAACAAATCTCATCTGCTGGTTGTCCTTGGCTCCACCCTGAACTGGGACCTGCTCCCCTCTGCACTTCCATCTATGAACCCTGGAGCAGCTTCAGTGTGGGACAATACACAAATAAAGAGTCAGTGCTCATCCCTCTGCAGAACAGAAACACCAACATG